AACGTTTCCGTGCAAGCAAAACAAAAATCATTTCATCCTGTGTTGTCGTTAACTGAGCTAAGTAAAATGTAGTCCAACTGAATATTTTTAAATCACTTGTTGTTCTACAGTACGTTTATCTATAAAAACGTTTCCGTGCAAGCAAAACAAAAATCATTTCATCCTGTGTTGTCGTTAACTGAGCTAAGTAAAATGTAGTCCAACTGAATATTTTTAAATCACTTGTTGTTCTACAGTACGTTTATCTATAAAAACGTTTCCGTGCAAGCAAAACAAAAATCATTTCATCCTGTGTTGTCCTTAACTGAGCTAAGTAAAATGTAGTCCAACTGAATATTTTTAAATCACTTTTTGTTAGTGTCACAGTACGTTAGTGACAAATATTTTTCCTTAAATTTCAGTTTACATTTGGAAGAATAATTTTAAAAAATTCTTTCGTTTGTCACTTGTCAAGACAAAGTCTTAATCAGTATTAATTAAATAATACTACTACAATAATAATAAATATCTGTTCTAAATATCAAAAGAAACACACCAGCGTTATTGGCAGGACGCACTTGTTCTAGAGAATCGGATTAAATTTCTCGTGAAACAGATGGTTATGACATAGAGCTAAATAGGTGTTAGGATTTGTAAGAGAAGCCCAAATGATCCAGTCTGTCTTCCACGTACTAATAAGTTCTGGAGTTAAGGATTCTCTAGTTAAAAACTGAGATAGTTATCATCGGATTTACGTTTATTGTCAGACTAATTTTTCTGGACGTCATACAGTAAACACGGGTTCTTTCTTAAAACCAGCAATAGAAAGACAATAAAAAAAATGGTTGTGCCTGTTAGACATATATCTTATACACACAACTCTTGTAGGATTTCTGGTTTTATTAATCATAGAAATGAAATGGAACATTCACTACAGACTTTTACATTTTCAAGATGCTCTGAATTGTTGTTCACCTAGTAGACGTGCAAGACTGGCTAAGAGGACATCAGTTTTTATGTCTGTAAAATATTTTTAAAAATAAAATATCGAGCAGCTAGATCCGATCACGGCTTGTTGGTTATCATATCGATCTGTGGAGCTGAGGTTCTGTGGTCACCTTCTATTACCAACAAAAAGAAAAGAAAAATTGTGCTAAGCTCTTTGGGGCAGTGAGTGAGTTATAAGAGTGACGGTCAAATTCCACTATTCGGTCTTACAAGAGTTGTTCAAGAGTTGGCGGTTGGTAGTGTTGACTAGCTGCCTTTCCTCTAGCCTATCACTATATTTTACTATATTATAAAACTTAGTTATATGCCAAGGTTTAATTATAGACTACTCCAATTTGTTTAATGTTTCTTTTATTTTGTCAACAAACAAAAGTTGAACTCACTAACTCTGTTTTAATTGGCAAGACCTATGAAGAATCTTGGTTTAATAGGATCCTTTGTATTGATAAGTTCCTTTTCCGTTTACCTTTTTTTATAACTTTACATACAGATACATTGGACATTGACGTAAGCAACAGCAATGTAAATGTAAATATATTGTTTAAACCTAGGGGATTCCTTCATCAAATATTAACATTCTTTCATTACAAGTTACATTACAGTATTTTTAAAAATATTCTTTATTACAGTAAAAGCTGTAACTTGAAATAATAATAAAAAATCAGTAAATAAACTCAACATGAAACTACTAATTCTTTCATCTTTATACTCCCTGAATAACTCAGCGGTAAACTTCATAGCTTAAAACACTAAAATTCCAAGTTTTGATTCCCACAGAAGGCCTATTGTGTAGCTTTATGCAAAACAAGAAAAAAAAGCCTTTATGTTTAAAATGTATAAATCTTTTGCACTTAATTACACAGCAAAAAATCTGTAATAAACTGGAAAAAAATTTTCTGACGTAAACCTATCTAATAATAAAACCTGAATACAATACTTTTAAATAATAGCATTTATTAAAATATTAAAAAGTGATAAATATTGAAGTGTTACTTAAATTCGACAATGTCAAAATTTGTTATATTAAATAAATGTTCTAATAGTAAATTATTTCAATTACACTATTCCTGTTTTGCCTCACACTGACGATCATGTACACAACCAAACTTTTATTTTAACAGCATAATGTTAAGGTTGGGTGTTATACTAGATTATTAAAACTTGTAGAGACAGCGACAGTGTTTTTTATTTATCTTGAATAGTAATATTTGTTGACATAGATACATTAACTTTCTTTAGACACTGTTTATGCAGGTATGTGACAATTATGGGATTTGACTAATAACCCGCTATTTTCCATTTTTAATAGTTTGTTTCCTTGTTTGTTTTTCTTTCCTATTTTGTTTTATTAAGAGTGAATGACTATATATGATGAATGACAGTTTTTTGTTATGAGACGCTGTAGACTTCAATACTCATAGCTCTTCCTAATTTTTAAATTCACATTTATTTTTACTGTCACTTTACGGGTATCCTCAGTCTACAGATTACCCTCTTTATCCCCAGCCTCAATGTAAAGTGTACTCTAATTGAATATAGTTGT